GTTTTAGCAAGTTTAGAGATATTGTTTGAGGATCCCATTAGTTCTCGCGACCTTGCCTGATGACTGTGGGTGATAGGGACAGTGGTAGTTCCAAGAAGTGTGCAAAGAATTTGCTCAGGCTTGTATGATCTGCCCAGTGAAGTGGGTGTCTTGATCACTGGAGACTGTAGAAGGGACACCCCAAGTGGAAAGCACGTTTTCTAACAATTTCTTTGCCACTGTGAGAGCATCAGCCTTGCAGCAGGGGAAGGCTTCAACCCATCCAGGAGACTTACACACAATAACAAGAACATATTGATAACCCGTCCTGAGTGACATTCGAATGAATCCAGCTGCAGATGCTCTGAGGGTCCAGAGGGAGGAGATCTGAGGCCTCTGGGGACAAAAATAGATTTTCCAGGATTATGGACCAGACAGGTCAGATATTGGTCATAAATTACTTTTGCAATTTTATAGAAGTCTCCCCACCAATGTTTATTCATAATTTGAGTCATCTCAATTGCACCATGGTGTGTGAAGGAAGGCAAAAACAAAAACAAAAAAAAAATGGGGTTTGCCAGGGAGCCAGGAAGAATCAAGTGGCCCTGACTATTCATTGAATTTACAACCATTGTTTGCCCATCTTGGCTTCCCCGATGTGGGAGACTGTTGCCATGTTACAAGAACATAAAGATGGCAAAAGTCTGGCAAAAAGGGGTCAATTTTTGCAGAAGCAGGATGGACTTCATCCACATGGGCCACCACATTTATAGATTATGTTGCTACTGCCTTTGCATGCAGCCAGGGCGATGCCCTCATAGTCAAGTTCAAGTCTTCTTAATGTGAGCCTCGATTTTTATGATGGCAATTTCGGAAAACAAAAGAACAGTAGTAAGAAGGATTTTTTGCCTGCTGCCTATTTTTGATTGGGGTCCCAGAGGATGAAAGAAAAGCCCTTTATTTCCATAGCATCCCCAAATCATGGTTGATCCCAAAGGCATACAGGCTGTCAGTATAAACATTGACAGCCTGTCCTTCTGCTAACAGGTGGGCTCAGTGAAGGGTGTGCAGCTCTGCCCGTTGGGCTAATTGAGCTTGTGGGAGATTTCCCCTCTCATACAGTTCATGTTGGCTAATAACAGCCCAAACAGCTTGGAAATTCCCTTGTTCATTTTTACAGAATGACCCATCAACAGACAAAATTAGATCAGGGTTAGTCTCATAAATCAGGACACGGTGTCACGAGATGGGACATTATTGCTTCACAGTCCAGGGACTTGCCTTTGTCAGGAAGAGGTAGTAACATAGCAGGATTAAGAATGCTGCAACGTTTCAGATGCAGATTGTAGGTGGTGAAAGCAGAAGGATCCCAGAGGAGTTTAATCTGCTGGCAGAGAAATGTTGATGAATTCAGTTCATTATTAAGAAGACTTTGGGCAGCGTGTGGAGTTTGTAAATCAGTGTCATTTCCTAGGGTCCAATCCACTGAGGTTGCCACTAACTCTGCTCTGGCACCATAACGCAGTTGGACAGGCACAAGGAACTGAATCCAGTTGTGTGCTATAATAGGCAAAGGGTTTATGTTTATTGCCACGCTCCTGTGTGAGCATCCCCAGGGCTTGGTTATCTCTTTTATGCCCTAAAAAGGTGAACAGTTGTGAATAGCTGGGTAGCCCTAGGGCAGGCAGTTCTTGTTGTGCCTCTTGGTCTTATAAAGACCAGCTCGTGTTTATCTTTCCAAGGAAAGTTCGTAGGGAAAATTAGGAACCCACAGTCTCCAATAGCCAGACAGGCCTAAGAAGCCGTGAAGCTGTCACTGAGTTGTGGGCATACAGACTTCCTGGATTAGCTCAATTCTTTTTGGAGATGGCTGGATTCCTGCAGCACTTAGATGATGACCTAGCTAATGAACACTGTCTAGAGATCATTGTAGTTTTTCCTTAGGGACTTTATGTCCTTTTTCAGCTGTCTCAGCAAATAAGTGAAATCCGTAAATGGGCATCTCTTTGGTAACTGAGCATAGCAGAGAGCATCCACGTGCTATAGGAGGGTTGATTTCCCAGGGTCTGGAGGGTGCTTACATCTCGGTGGAGCTCTTGGGAGAAATGAGAAGGGGCCTCGGTGAACCTTTAAGGCGTGACTGGCCACGTACATTGTTGATTGTTCCAAGTAAAGGCAAACAGATCTTGGCTGCTGGGAACCACAGGGATGCCCAGCAAGACTGAACAAAGGCCTGAAACTGGGAACCACTCTGATGCTGGTGGAAATGGTGACAAAGGGCTGTTTGGTTTGGAACAACTGGAAAATGGGGAACAACTATCTTGTTAATTGCTCTCAAATCCCCACCCATTAGGTGTCCAGACTGGTAAGGTCAGTGTGTTACAGGGACTAATACAGGGAAAGATTAGCCCCTGGGTGACTAGGGCTTCTACCATTGGTGTGAGGCCATGGGTTTTTAATGGATATTGAGGCAGTTTGAAAAAGGTTACGTTATGTCTATCAGGATTTTAATAGGTTCTGCACTTTTTATTCTCTCAGTGTCAGTAGCCCACAGAGTTTCAGGCACTGTGGTTAAATTAGGGATCTTTTCCTGGAGTTCCTCCTCTCCTATGTCAAGAACAGATTGTAAGGAACATAAAAGATCAAGTTCAGGTTGGTCAGGATATTCTAGGGTGAGGTCTCCATTGGAAGTAAAGCATATTCACCCTCTTCGTTTAGAAAGGACATCTCTGCTTCATAGATTGACTGGTGCTGTGTTACACAGCAAAAGAGAATGCTTTTCAGTGAAAGGTCCCTGAGTCATTTGTACTGGTTGAGATAGAAACTCCCTCTGAATTTTATTACCCCACTATGGAAACTTCTTTTTCACTCTGCGGGATCTGTTCTAAGAGAGTGAGTTTTAAAGTAAAGAGTGTAGCTCTGGTATCTACCAGAATTTGGCAAGATTTTCCATTGACTTTGATTTTAGTTTCCCCTTGACTGGTTAAGGGCATCTCTGGTAGCCGTTTACAGGACAAGCCCTCAGAGTCTCGACAGTTCTGAGAGTGACCCATATGGGGCCTCTTTTGGGGACAGATATAGGGTATTAGAGTTGGTGTTGAGAGATCTGCATAAGACCTTTGAGGACTATCGTTTTTCCAGTGTCCCAGTGGATTACAAATGAGACATCAATCCCTGGACCAGCACTTTGATGGCGGACCCCTTGGAGGGTATAATGCTCCCAAGTGTCGTTTTCGGTCCCTGGCCTCCAAGCTGTCACAGCTGTAAAGTTAATAACTTGGCAGGCTTTTGTTTATGGTCTCATTCCAAAGTCCTTTCAAAGTGCTCAGTCAGACTGGTGGCTTCCCATCCTATTTTCTGCCTTTTTATCAATCCATGAATCTCAGGTGATAATCCTGGAGTAAGTTAGGTGACATCATCTATTGCATGGAACCCAGCTCCAAGGAGATGTACAAAATAAAGGACTTTTATAAGGCAGAAAGGGACAGGACAAGGAAGCTATACTAACAAAGAATGAAGTTTGTGGTCTTCCTTTAGGGGATGACAGGGTTATATCAGGGAGGTTACCTCACTAGTGCCGACCATATGATTCTAAATTGACTGGTTTAAGACTCCACTCCTGGGAGAGGTTGAAACATAATTCTTGGTTTCTGAATGTAGGGCTTAGCACAAGTGACTCCATTTTGAGCCTGTTGTTTCTTTTTAAACAATACTCATCTATGATGTAGCATGTATAAATAGTTTGTTGGTTTTTATTGTTTTTCCTCTCAGCATCTAATTGAACATGCAAACCTTTCTTTCCCAGTTTATCACTATGCACCAATCAGCAATCATTCTATTTTTCATAAATTCTCTGCCCTTTTTGGCCCGTCTTTGTAGCTGTAATACATTCATTGAGTCAGAATACAAAATATATCTAAATACTATTCTGTCCTATTTTTCACTCTTATTTTATCTTATCCTGTAGTTAAATAAATGCTTGCCACCAGGACTTTGTTGATGTTTCAATGATTTCTTGATGATCTCAACCTCATTCTCAACTTAATTCCTCAGGATTTTGTGACACCAACTGGATGTCCTACCATTTAATTTAGACACTATAGGGTCACATCCCACAGGACTGCCCCCCCTTCAGATGCCAGTCACAAATCCAGGTTGTCGCCTGTGCTTCTGACCAAATGGCCATGAATCTGAGGTTCCCATGACCCCCTGCTCAGGTTCAATTAATTTGCTAGAGTAGATCACGGAACTCAAAGAAACATTTTATTTACTAGATCACCAGTTTATTATAAAAAAATATATAACTCAGGAACAGCCAGACGGAAGAGATGCACAGGCAAAGTATGGGGAAAGAGCACAGAGCTTCCGTGCCCTCCAGATGTGCCACTCTCCCAGCACTTCCACATGTTCACCAAACCCAGAAGCTGTCTGATCCCCATCCTTCTGGGGTTTGTCTGTGATGCCATGTTGAGAAACACTTGTCTAATAGGAACCGAATTTGAAGGCAGAAAAGACCTGCACAGTAGAGACATCTCCACAGCTGCCCATTAGTGTGGCCTAGGCAAGCCTGCCAAGGGGGATGAAAAGATTCCCTGTAGTAAATACCCAGTGAAGTGGTGCCTTTGAAAACACAGTGCTTTGTAAACCTACCAAAGCCTTGGTCTGTTGATCCTTAGCATAAGTCCAATGCCAAGTGCTAGGTGTTCCCTAATCCTTCCAACATTTTTACATATGAGGTCAATTTTATGACCCCCACTGTACAGAAGAGGAAGCCAAGGCTTAGGGAGGATAAATAATTCTGTCAGGATCACATAGATGTTCCATTACTACAGAGAGAAGTCACTGTAGTAGTCAAGGGTGTTTCCTTGATAATTTCCAACTCACGTCAAGGGTTCTCCAGAGAAACAGAATCAACATGGTGTGTGTGTGTGTGTGTGTGTACTAATTTATTTTAAGAAACTGGGGACTTCCCTGGTGGTCCAGTGGATAAGACTCTGCACTTCCAAGGCAGGGTGCACAAGTTCGATCCCTGGTCAGGGAACTAAGATCCTGCATGCCACATGGTGTGGCCAAAAACTAAAAAAAGAAAAGAAACTGACTCACGTGATTATGGAGAAGTCCAGAACCAGCAGAGTAGGGTAGAGTGTAATTTCATGCCAAGTCCAAAGACCTGGGAAGCAGGAGAGCTGATGGTGTAAGTTCCAGTCTGAATCCGAGTCCAAAAGCAGGAGAAGACGGATGTCCTGGGATGTCCCAGCTTTAAAGACACTGAGGCAGAGAGAAGGGATTCTTACTCGGTCTTCCATTCTAGTCAGACTTTCAGTGGATTGGATAAGGCCTACTCACACTGGGGAGGGCCGTCAGCTTTACTCAATTCAAATGTTAATTGCATCCAGAAACACCCAAACAGACACACCCAGAGCAAAGTGTAACCAAATATCTGGGTGCCCCGTGACCCAGGCAAGTTGACACGTAAACTGTCACAGTCACCCAATGGGACATTTGTTATTCAGCATCCCACTCTGGGGGTATCATGATCATGTGCGGGCTCCTTCTTTTCTTGTCTCCCTATGTTTATGTATCACCCACTGCTTGTGGATTTGGGGGTAGGGACAGAGGCAGAGGGAGCTGCAGTGGATGGGATTTGAGCCTATGAGTGGACACCCCCAGTCTCACCACAGTCGGCAACTTTTGAGCAGGGCCTGAGGGGCTCGCCCTTCTTGCCATCTCCTCAGGCCCTGTAAGGCAGATGTGTCCATACCTGCTGCTCTGGAAACTGCAGAGGCCATGAGCACTGGAGGGGTTCTGGTCCAGGTAAAGCTTTGGGGGAGGGGGAGGGGGAGGAGGAACCATACATGCAGACCTTCAGTCCACACTCCTCACTCCTGGGGAAGGAAATGGACCCAGCCCTGTGCACAGGCTAGTTTGCTCTAAGAACAGGAGAAAAAGAAGGCAGCAGATGGTCACTGTGATTCTTTGCTACTATTGTTGATAATATTATAACCGTATACAGGGTGTCTTCGTGCAGTTTGCACCTCTGATGCTCAGGAAAATCCAGAGCAGTAAGCGCTAGTACCTGTCTTTTACAGATAAGGAAACTGGGGCACCGGGAAGCTAAGTGACACTGTGACACAGCCATTAAACAGTAAAGACAGAGCACAAGTTTGCATTGTCTACGCACTCCAAATCTCATCCTTTCTTGTGGGAACCCAAGACTCACGAGAACAGAGGTGCAGGCCTTGTTCAGATGCCAGGAATGTCATCTTTAGAATTCAACAAAGTTAGAATTCAATTGCATAGAAAATCTGCAGAATGATGGGAACTATTTGTTAGAACTTAAAGGAACACTGCTCAACAGTCAAAAGATGAGTCCCGTTTCCGGCAAGTGCTGGAAATGAGGTGGATTCTGGGGATGACATAGCTGTGTTGACAGATGTGATGGTGGGGAGCTCGGTGGAGTGACAGCAGGCAGAGGTGCGTGGTGGGGGGCCTGGGGAGTCAGCTCAGGCGTGCATCCTTCACCCAGACGTGGAGCTCCACCAAGATGTCAACACTAAGTGGTGACAGCCATCAGGAGGGAGGCCAGGTCCCGGGACGTGTCAAGGATCTGGGATGACCAAAGGTGTGCAAGCATTACGGTACCACCTGGACAGGAAGCAGGACAGCTGAGAAGAGCGGGTGACAGCTGCTGGAACTCAAGAGCTGTTTGAGGGGATTCTAGGTGGCTGAAGACTGCAGGTTGTAACAATTGGTTCTCTGGAGGCTGAAGAAAATGCGAAGCAAAACAACAGTGAGTGTCATAGCAGCACTATCTACAGCAGCCAGGACAGGGACACAACCTAAATGTCCTTCAACAGATGAATGGATAAAGAAGATGTGGTACACATATACCATGGAATACCACTAAGCCATAAAAAAGAATGAAATGATGCCATTTGCAGCAACCTGGATGGACCTAGAGATTGTCATATTAAGTGAAGTAACTCAGACAGAGAAAGACAAATATCATATATCATTTATATGTGGAATCTAAACTATGACACAAATGAACTTATCTATGAAATAGAAACAGAATCACAGACATAGAAAACAAACTTGTGGTTGCCAAAGGGAAAGATGGGGGAGGGATAAATTGGAGTTTGGGATTAATAGATACACACTACTATTTTAACAGATAAAATAGATAATCAACAAGGACCTACTGTACAGCACAGGGAGCTCTACTCAGTATCTTGTAATAACCTATAATGGAAAAGAATCTGAGAGAGAATGAACACGTGTATATGTATTACTGAATCAGTTTGCTGTACACTTGAAACTAACACAACATTTTAAATCAACTATACTTCAATAAAAATAAATTTAAAAAAACAACAGTAGCAAATATTGTCATCTTTAAAATTATCAAAGGCAAAAATATATATCCAGGGGCTTCCCTGGTGGCGCAGTGGTTGAGAGTCTGCCTGCCGATGCAGGGGACGCGGGTTCGTGCCCCGGTCCGGGAAGATCCCACATGCCGCGGAGCGGCTGGGCCCGTGAGCCATGGCCGCTAAGCCTCGCGTCCAGAGCCTGTGCTCCGCAACGGGAGAGGCCACAACAGTGAGAGGCCCGCGTACTGCAAAAAAAAAAAAAAAAAAAAAAAAAAAACTTAAATATATATATATATATATATATATATATCCTGAAGAAGGTGTTGGACAAGGAGCTCTCTCATGCAGCTACTGGTGAAAATAAACTTATTACAGTGCTTTCAGAAATGATTTGGAGATACAGACATACATATATGGTCTTAATTAAGAAAACATTCATACCTGTTGAGTCAGTTTTTACTTCCAGAATCTATCTTGGGAATCAAGCATGTCATGCAGCTGGGCAATTCTGTGACTAAGGGTTCGGCATCTGGAGTTGTAAAGGCTGCACCACTTGTGGGCTGTGGAGGGGACAGAATTTAACCTCTCCAAGCCTCTAGTTCTTCATCTGTGACGAGAACAATAACAGTACCTGACTCGGAGGGTGTTTGGAATTAAATAAGACATGAAACATAAATGAGCTAAACTACATGATAAGTACGCCATAAATTGTATTTCCTTTCCAAGACATCCCTCAAAGTATTACTTATAACCTCAAAATATCAGAATGATCTCAGGGTCATGCAACAAAAATCAGTTAACTAAAGCTGTGGGAAAGCCTAAATAGACAATTTTACACTCCTTAAAAGAAATGTTTTCACTGTGATGGAAAATAAGTTAAGAAAAATAATTACAGGTGTAGAGAGATGGACACCGTCTCATGTAGCTACGGGTGATAATAGAAATTATTACAATGCTCCCATGGGATGATTTGAAGATCTACTGCAACCTTAACATGGGCATACTTTTAATTCAGAATTCCTTACTCTCAGAATTCAGTGTAAGTGAAGAGGTGGACAGGAAAACCTTCAATAACAGAGTTAGTAAAATAAATTATTGTTTCGCTCTACAAAAGAAAAATCTGTAGCCACTGAAAATGGTGTTGTTTAAATATGTTATTTAAATGGATGCTATTAAAAATAATAAGTGAAAAAGGAAATTAGAAAACGTTATATGTTATGTTATAATTATATCTATCTGAGCAAAATAGTTCCCTCAGTAAATTTATTCAAACCAATTAACAATAGCTAAGCATGACATTAATGTCTGCTGTAGACTGAGGTCTTCAACAGGATGGCAAAGATGGTGACAGCACTCAGAATCTTGCAGAATCCGCAAGTGACACCACAAGGCCCTTCAGTGTCATCCGAAGGAAGATGACAGTGCTGACAGCTGTGCCCCTCCGGGTTCCAGGAGATGATTTAGGATGTGGTCCTGCACACAGATCCCCACACCCTCGTGTCTGTTCTGACCTTTCCTTTTCCTTTACTTTGTTTTCACTCTGCTTTCAGTTGACAGTGAGTGGGTTGAACACGGGGCATTGCTGACATCAAGTCTATGCAGCCAGTGCCCCACATTGGAACTCCCAGCCCATGGGGTCCCTTGTGAACGGAAAGTCCCAGTAATGCTGACCACGGCCTGTAACCCAGTGGAAGCAATCCACTTCCAAAGAAATTCCACCTGCTTGGATTTTCTTTAAAACCTGGAGACAGCGTCAGCAAACTGAATGTCATATTTTATGACAACATTGGGCCACCTTAACAATACTGTAGGTAAAATCCCATAAATATTGGGAAGAACAAATAGCTCATGCTGTCACTGGGTGACACTGAATTCCCCTCCTCCTAATTCTTACTTGGCTAACAAGTGGCAGCTGCTAATTACACAGTACTGGAGAAAATGTGCACGTAGTTGAGGAGGGCGTTCCCAACAGATTCCTTTTCAAATTTCTTTGTCTCCAAAAACCATAACTCTGTGGGACCCGGGAATAAAGTATAGAGGCCTAGATTATTAGGGCGTGCAAAGAGCAAGGGTGCGCACACATGGCAGTGTCACCAGCGTGTCTGGGTTCCTCTGACAGTATCTCGAGCTCAGCAGGGTTCTGAGGCCGAAGCTTCAGAAAGCCTGGTCAGCCTCAGAAAGCACCAGGCGGGGTCGTGGACTGGGAGAGTTGATATCTCTCCTACCGGAGGGGTACAGAACACTTAGTCAAACCGTATTAACCGAGCACTTGTCAGTGTCAGTGACTTTAAGATGAGGTGGCGATGGAGCTCAGAGTTCTCATAATATCATGTCTTTAAATGTTGGCCTCATCTGCTATGGCTTGTTAAATTGCTAGGAAGAAGCAGAAAGACCCTCTGACATTCCAGCAGCTCTCGGTGGACTCAGGAGTACTGTGGGACCCTGGGGTTTCCCAGTTGAATCTGGGACCCACAGATTCAACTATGATGTCCAAAAGAGCAGGCAGCCACGATCGAAAGCTGTGTGTTTGCCAGCATCTAGGCCAGGACCATCCTGCTTCCTCCTGATTCCATTTAAGGACTGGCTCACGTTGATAATATACTTTCTGTTAAGAAAATATTTGTGCCCTATGCTTAAAGACTTGTTTTTTGTTAATCAACTATACTTCAGTAAAAAAAAAATTAAAAAAAGGACTTGTTTGATTATTCATTTATTTAGTTTTCCACTGTTGTTTTAAATACATACATGGCAATGTCCCTATTTTGCTCTTCTTGGCCTGTATCCTTTCCTCTTTCTGCTAACAGCGCCCTTTTCCTTTAAGAAACCACCAGCCTCCTACCTGAGATGTGGGCTGTGACACCCCATGCCCCCCTCCCACAGACGGCCACACATGCCCCAGCTGGTCAGTCTGAGAGCCCTGTCCATGCACAGGCTGTGGCCTGAGCACAGGAATTCCTCAGTCTCTCTGTCAGTTGAGCTAAACTTTAAAAGGAGCTTGGAAAACTTTTTCTCTAAAGGGCCAAATGGTAAATAGTTTAGGCTTTGTGGGCAAAGTGGTCTCTGTTGTGATGACTCAGCGCTGCCATGGTACCAAGAAAGCCATAGACAATGTCAACCTCTAGGCATGGTTGTGTTCCAATAAAACTTTATTTACAAAAGCGGGCAGTGGGCCAAGTTTGGCTCATGGGCCATACTTTGCCAACCCTGCGTTTAGAGTATTCATTTTCAACTTACACTCTGAAAAAACTCCTCAGGAAGGACAAAGAATGGGTGTGTGGGGGGTGGTATCTCCCACCCTCCTCACTGCATCTCCTAGGGAGTCAGGGCAGCCCCTGTTTCCTCTTTATACATTGAGGATCCATTTACAATATTATGTGAAAATGACATTCATCAATTCATAAAAGTTTTGAAAATCAGTGACAGGGTAATAAAGGATGTGAGTTATTAATTATTTAACTTTGTTTCCAGGCTCCGAGAGGGAGGCACCATGTTGGGTCACGTATAACGTCTCAGGTCCCTCAGAGAATCCCGTATGGGAGTGAGCCAGACCCTCTGGCTTGTACACACATCACTTCATGACTTGTGTCTACCGTCAGCTTTGTTGAAACTTTTATCAACATGGTCTAACCACATCATTTGAAATTTTTATTTAGTCTTCACTGAATATTGTAGGAAAACTGATATGCTAGGATGGCAAGGCAAAACAAATACTAATATATGTGCTTTTAATATGCCTATTGTTGAAAAAGAGAGAAGGAGAAAATTATCTTATGGATGTAGACAAAATTTTGTATTTTAAAAAGTCTTTCACGTGGAGAATTTGGAATCTTTGTGCACTGCTGGTGGGAATGTGGTCCGCTGTGGCCGCTACGGGATCGCAGAACAAATAGGTGGAGAGATGGGTGGTGGACTGAGCTTCACACCTTCCTGTTAGAAAAATCAGCTGGAGCATTTCCTGTTCCAAACCCTCCTGTGGGTTTGATGTAGAATCCCATGCTTGTGGTCAGTATGTGATGACAAGATATCACCTCTCAACTGAAATCAGGGCCGCCAATTGGAAAATAGGCTCGTTGGAGACAAATCAGTTTATGAATGTGTGCAAAGCAGGCTTTGTTCTAGGCTATGACAGCTTATTTGACAAATCTGGGTGATTCTAGAGGAACTCTGATGGTGCTGTTAGGACTGGACCTGACAACCTTCTAGAACGTTTGATAGACTCGGGTAGGCAGGTGATCCGGGCACACCGAGAGAACAGCAAACGTAAGGTCACCTCCCAACCCTGAGAACTGTGCACTGGTGGCTCCAGGAAGGAAACAGACCCGTGTGACAGCATCGATCTCAGTGGGAAACAGATCCAGTGGCCGTGCCCCACGTGACTGTAATACTTCAGGACAAAGCCAGCGACAGTAGTTCATTCTGAGCACCAGGTTTTCTATTGGATGACAGAGCGCCTTCTGCACAAAGAACCTCTCTGTGGGTCTGTGACCGCCAGGGGGGCGGGCCCACCACACCTGCACTTCCCTGTGGTTCTCCAACTTGGTTGCTTCAATTCTTTGCGAATTAGTATCAAACTAGTGATAATTTTGGAACAATGTTCGTATTTCAGTTGTATCATATTTCTTTATTTTTAATTGTCCAAAGGAAAAGATAAGATTTATCGGGCATGAGGACATTAACAGAAAAATGCTCCTCTACCCTACCCCCTGACAATTTGTTAATATTTTACATTAATTTCAAACTAAGGACATACACCATATTTTCCGCATCCTGAAAAAAAATCAACATAGTAATAAAATCTGATTTCAGCGGCCAGTGGCTATTGTACTTTCCACTGCGTAATTCCATTCTATTCATTATTTTAGCCTCTGCTCTCTAAGTTGTCACATTGATTTGAAACTCAATGAAAATCTCATTAAAAATATGATTGGAGGGCTTCCCTGGTGTCACAGTGGTTGAGAGTCCGCCTGCCGATGCAGGGGACACGGGTTCGTGCCCCGGTCCAGGAGGATCCCACATGCCGCAGAGCGGCTGGGCCCGTAAGCCATGGCTGCTGAGCCTGCGCGTCTGGAGACTGTGCTCCACGATGGGAGAGGCCACAACAGTAAGAGGCCCGCGTACCGCAAAAAAAAAAAAAAAAAAAAAAATGATTGGAGGCAACCCAGAGAGGGAGGAGAGAATGCCTGGTGGTCTAGGAGACACTGGATGTGATGCTGATGTGAACTCACTTTTCTGAACACAGCTGTCCCTGATCCGTAATTTATGCACCATATTTCGTACTGTAACTATTTAATTTGTTGTTTAATTTCTCCCTGTCTATGTGGGGTGTGTAGCAGTGGCAGGGGGAGAATTGCAAAGGGATCCTGACTCTTGTTAGCTTTTGTTGTGCAGGTGAACCATCCTGAAATTATGTTTGATGTATAATAGGACTGAGCAAGTGGGTGACCGAGCGTTGATAGAGCTATAGGGTCCTGTTGTGGAGGACAGGTCGCACACCTACGAAATGGGGACAGGGAGAGAGACTGTGGACTGGACTTGGAGGGCCTAGCTCTGTCCACAAGGAGATCAAGAAGAACCTGCCCCCACCGCCCCACCGCCCCAGCAGTATTGACACACTTAGGGCCCAATCTCCGTCTCTAAGGGAACTGCTCCTGGAGAAATGGTGGATTCCAGGTTGGAGCAAAGTAGGATGAGCCCAGAACAGCTTATTTGGCTCCAGCAAAGGACAGGGAGTGTCACAAGGACATGGAAGCCGCTCGAAGGGTGCCCGCCCACCAGGCCTGCGTCACTGATGGGAGTGCCACAGCAGCCAGGGGCAGCGATGAATTACAAACCTGGGGGAAGATGGGACTCAGGGGAGTCCATACCAACAATCAGTACATTGATTAATCACTTCATCCATGGGGGAAGTGCCCAGGACCAGCAGTAAGTGCTGAGAGACGCCTGATGTGTCATCACAAGGAAACAACAGGTGAAGCCCAAAGGAGCGGTGTCCTAATAAAAGAGGAGACAGGGTGGAGGTGGGGGGAGACTGGAAATGTTCCAGATGAAACCAGGCTAAAGAGACAAGACAAGAAAATGTGATGCCTGACCCCCAGATGCTGTTGGAGGGGGAAATGCTGAAATAGATGTGCTGGGTGAGATGACGAAATGGACCACAAGCCACAGGTGTGTTGTATCCATTTACCTGTACTGAGGTGGATCCTGGGCTGTGGTTTAGGATGGGAGCACCCCTGGTCCTCAGAAGTGCACAGGTGGTGTTTGGGGCCATGATACGCACGTGACCCACTCTCCACAGGCTCAGAAAGTAGAAGGAGGAGAACCAGGCCAGCAGCAGGTGACCTCGGGTGAAGCCACACACGTGTTCTTCACACTGTTTGACTTTTCCAACTTTCCTTTAAGTTTGAAATTAATGATTTCCCCATTTCTCTTCCTAAGTCCTTCTGCTTCGCCTACTGAATTGGCTTCGGGTACACGGGTGTTACACACGCTGCAGAGGGCTGTCGTGGTGAGTGCAGAGGCCTTTGCTCACGCACGAGAAAGGCCTGTGCTCCCAGCTTGTTCAGAAGACCTGGGTTCAGGATCCTTCAACCCCTGACAAAATCCACATTGGTGGAATCTTATTCAAGGAAAAAAAACCCTGATAGTTTCATGGACACTAAGACATCAATAACTGAAGAAAACTCATTGTATCCTCCATTCTTGGGGACCCCTTGAAGCAAAAATGCTTTATCCTGAAGGATGTCACCTCCAGTGGGGTATTTCCAAGTCCTGGGGACTCATGGGGGCCTGGGACCCCTCCTGGGCTGTTTGAATCCTACTGTGGAGGTGACAAGTGCCCTTCAGTTGTGTTTGCCCTTGTTTTATGGGCTGCTTGCTCCCGCCGGGAACATTCCAGCAACTTCTCTTCAAAAGTTGTGTTTTTACTGCCAACGTTCCTTAACTCAATTCTGCTATTAGGAGACACAGCATCTCCAACTTCAGGGCCTTTGTACAGAATAACCTTGCTTTTAGTGTGATTGGGAACATTATACAGACTCATTGGGGGCAACCTGGGAAATACAAAGATGTGTAGGGAAAAATAATGACTCATCATCCTGTGAACCTGATCTCAGGTGGCCTCAGCCTGCAGTGGCTTGAAGCAGGGTTTCGGTTCCTGGCCAGAGATTGAAGTCAGTCCAAGACAGTGAGAGCACTGAATCCAAGCCACTAAACCACCAGGGACAGAGACAAGGGATGAGGCCCTGGCCCTGTAGAAATGAATTCCCACAAAGACAGAAAGTAGTGAAATAAAAAGTATTTATTAGGAAGAAAAAGAGTACGTGAGGATAGACACACAGGAGGGCTCAGAGAGAGAGTCACGCCCTCGTGGTAGTTTGAATCACTTACATGGGGCATTGCTTCCAGGTTTCCTCTGGCCAATCATCTTGCTTTGCCTGGTTCTGAGTCCATATTTGGTTTATCTCAGGATCTTCCCCGGTGGGCGCGCATCTCTTCGCCAAGATGGATTCCAGCAAAGAGGCCGGTGGGTAGATTGACATCACTCCCCTTTTGACCTCCAAGGAGCCTCTCTGTGCATGAGCAGTTGGGAAGGTCTCCTTGACCTCGAGAATGAGGAATAGGTGGTCTCTTTATCTCTTATCTGGGCAGGCTCAGCCTCTCCTATTATCCTCCTGCTATTAACTTTGTCTTGGAGTATTTGTCCACAGGGGGCAAACTCCAGGGGCTCAGCCTGGGGCCCATCTGTCTCCTGCCTCAATCCGGGAATAATTGTAACAAGGACAGCTAAATCAGACTCCATATTCGATCTGTTTCTTTGACTTTAACCTTTGCTTTTGTTATTATAAACATACAGAATGGCCTGCCTCTGGGAACCCTGGCCCTCTGCCTGAAAGTTAAACTAAAGTGTCTCTGTTCAGCTCACAGGGAGACAATCTGACCCTGTCCACCTGTGGATGGCTGCAGAAAAGAAGAAATGAACACATCCCCTCCCTGAGGCTGGCCATTCCAGGGGATATTTGCAAAACGTATAGCCTTGTTACTTTACTTCCTCATCTCCTCCCCCTCTGCGCTATCAAAGAAACTGGCATCCAAATCCCCGTAAGGTGACTTTTCAGAGCCACTAGTCTGCCACCTTCTTGGTCTGCCGGCTTCCCGAGTAAAGTCGTGTTCTGTGCCTCAACACCATCTCCGACTCAATGGCCTGTTGTGCAGCGAGCAGAGCGGGCTTGGACTCGGTAATATAATCTGTGATGAACCTGGTGCTTTTTCCTTTAAGCCTGCTACCCTACGTATGACAGAGGAGGGGGAACAAGCCACCTTAAATTGAACCCCAGGTTTCCCTTCCGGGCCTGTGTGTGGCTCAGGGCCCAGTGCGGTCTTGGATTCCCAAAGACAGACCTGAGCCCGGTTTTCAGGAAGGTGATGGGAGCCAGGGGGTTTGCAGGAGCAGATGTGGGAATCTGCATTTCGCTGGGAGGGAGAAGGTTGAGGGGCAGGAGAGGAGGGGTCTGCAGGTGTCAGCTGCTCTGTGGGGAGGGAGGGACGGAAACACACTCCTCTGGACAGACACTCTGAGAGGTGGTGGGCGTGGGTGGTACAGGGGCCACCCCCAGTTAGGATTCCATCCGCTGCAGGGCCCCAGGCTCTGAGCGCCCCCTGACACCCCACCTGCAGCCTATCCACGGAGCAGACCACCATGGGGACCCAGCCCCTTCCCCCACCCATCCCCAAACTTCCCTCACCTGTCCATGGTCTGGGAGGCACCTTCCCCAGGGGTGGCTAAGGCATCGTCGGGGGGAGGGGGAACCCCCAAAGGGGAGGCGAGAGTAAAGGAGGAGATGGAAAGTGAGTTAAGGGCCTACACAACACACATTTCCATATGTGACTGCAGGGACCTCTGAGCAGGCCCAGCGGTGCTGGGGCATCAGCACAGGTGCTGGGGGGTGGGGGCAGCCCCTTCAGGAGGTGACGCTCAGGCAGGAAAGGGCTGGGAGGTGGGAAGAAATGTGATGTGTTCTACAATTAACCCAAACCCAGCCTCGCTGGGGCCTGTGAGCCACGGGGCGGGCGGCTGACAATAAAAGACCACAGTCTGGGCAGCTGAAACGGTAGAAATTTCCCTCTCAGGGTTCTGGGGGCTGGAGCCCCAGATCGGAGTTGTTGCCAGCCTCTTCCCAGAGCCTTCATGCTGTGTCCCTGGGTGGTGGACAGACAGTGGTCTCTCTCCTCCTTTGTCTGATAAAGTCACAAACTCCATCCTGGGCCCTCGCCCTCTGACCTCACTGGGCCCTTATCACCCCCCAAAGGTCCCACCTCCTAGTAACGTCACCTCGGAGCTTAGGGCTTCAACCTGTGACCTCCGGGGGGGGACACAGTTCAGTCCACGGGAGGTTAAGTTTTGTTCCTCAATTGGTGGGTGTGGGTCCATAGCTCAGGTTCTGAGAAGAAAGGCTGGTTTGCCCTGGAATCTGCGGCAGGCTCCTCCCCTGACCTTTGCCCTCGGGGTTTTGGAAACTTCCCTCAGGCTGACGTCCACAGGGTAGGAAAGCCAGCGGCCAGTGTTGGTCAGACTCTGACACCATGCGTTTTGCACCCTTCCTGCTCAGTCCGTGTGGAAACTCTGTAACTCTATTCCCACCTCACAGAGGTGGAGAGAGAGGCTTGGAGCTATGCCCAGACTCACAGTTTTTGCAACGTAATAGGGTAAACATTTTCAAATCTCCATTTGAAAAGGTTACTCTTTCTGCTAACAATGGGGGAATCTGGATAAAGAAGGGGTGATCCTTGCAGAGTTCTTAGTTCCATAACTTCTCTAGCTTGGACATTATTTCCAAACGAAACTTGCTTCAAAGAGTGTGATCAGGTCAGCCTGTGCGCTCCAGGCTTCCCACCCATCACCCGCGGTCCTCCCACGCGCCTGGCCCAGGACTGGTCCCCTCCACGCGTGGAGAAGCGTCACCGTGGACCCGAGCCCGGGGCTGTGACTCCCCTGCCCCCTTGAGCTGCCTCTGAGGCCTGTCCTCTAAGATCGGTCATGAGGTTTTAGGAGAGCATCCACCGTCTGGGTCTCAGCCCCCCTTGTCTGCAGAGACACAACGCCTACTCTGACCCCGCTGGCAGCTGCAGGGGGAAGGAGGCACACGGAGGGACTGTGGTGACAAAGAGGCAGCTGGGGGCGCCCTGCAGAGAGCAGAGCCCCGGGGGCAAAGATTGGACACCGGCCAGAGGCAGCGAGACCCCAGAGCTGAGAAGCAATTAAAACTCAGCTGGACCTGGGCCCCCGGGGCGGGCATCTCGGTAGGTCCCGGAGATGACTCAGCACAGCCCAGGACGGGCACCTCTCCCTGCTGGCCCCTGCCAGGGAGGGGGAGTGGGGGAGGGCATCGGGATGAGGGCAGACTGGAGGGGCTGCAGGGACGGGAGAAACACCCATGTAACACGATTGAAAGCTCTCCTCCATAGAAGCCAGTTTTTAAATCTCCCCTTGGTGGATCACGTCTGCTTCTGCTAATAAATGCTGACACTCTACCAGCTTTATGTTCTGCCCGCAGCCTTGCGTGGACGATGGGGACGTGATGTTCCCGTGTTGAAATGAGACTCAGGTCCTTTAATAATTTCCCAAGGCTGTGGAGCGAAGAGAAGATGAAGCTGGGGTTCGCACACGTCTACCTGATACCTGGCTCCGTGTCTTCGACCTCTGCAGGTCCCGCGGCTGACGTCTGTCCCTCTGCCGGGCGCAGTCCAGGTGACCACGAAGCAGCCCTTCCCCTCCTGCTGGTGGCCTCTCGATCCTTTTCCAGCCCATTCTGGGGCTGTCTCAGTGACCTTGCCTGTCACTCGCAAACACTTCTCAAAGTGGGTACCCAGACCAGCAGTACCAGCATCACCGGGGGTGGGGGGGTGGGGGGGTCTCTTATTCTGGGAGATACCCACAATATGGTGGGACCCCAGAGGGCTACCTCCTGTGAGCCACAGTGAGCTGGGGGGGCAGAACCTGGGGGAACCAGAGTACAGGTTTTGGTCAGTTTGTGGACCTGGTTTCTTTAAAGATTTTGCCTTGGTGCAATGTGGTCCTAGGTTAGCAGGCTCCCCAAACACCCTTAAACACCAGTCCTTTCTAAGGGAGCTGCTTTATCCTTTCCTCCTATTAATTCAGCAAATAATTTTGCAAACAGAGTGAGCAGCACACAAAGCTGCCCCTGCAGATGTGGAGACTGGACTCCGTGAGGGAAAACAAACCAGAACAGGTATAACAGAAACACGTGCAAGGATGGGCGGGATTGGATTATTGGACAGAGATTATAAAAGCTTCCTTTGACTGTGCTAAAGCTTTAAGACAGATTGAAGGATGTGAGCAGAGAAGAGGAAACAGTAAGGAAGTGTCAGGGCAGATTTGGCAAAAACAAGCCCAGAACTCTCAAAATGAAAACTACAATAGCCAACATGGAAAACTCCATGGATAGCTTTCCCAGCAGATTAGACACAGCTAAAGATAGAATCGACAACCCGGTAAGAGGGAAATCATTCTGAGCAGCACAGGAGACAAAAGATGAACAACACAGGAGAGAGGAAGAGCCCCTGGGGTAGGTGAGAAGGACCAGGTGTAATTAGAGGCCCCGCAGGAAGGGAGAGGCAGTGAGGCTGGATTCATTTTTAAAGAGATAACCACTGAACATTTTCCCGAATCACCAAGAGACACGGTATTTGTTTCCTGGGGCTGCACACAGAGCGCCACAAACTTGGTGGCTTCAAACAACAGAAAAGTACCTTCTCACAGTCTGGAGGCTGGAAGCCTGAAACGCAGGTGTCGGCAGGGCTCACTCCCTCTGGAGCCTCGAGGGAGGGTCCCTCCTGCCTCTTCCAGCTCCTGGTGGCTCCTGGGGGTCCATGACATTCCGTCTACCTAACTTTCTTCCTCAGTTTATCTCCTTCCTCTCCCATTTTACTCTAAAGATATGCCCCCAACACACGGCTTGGAAACCCCCTCAGCTAAATACCCAAGCTGCTCACCAAGGTCTACTTTCCACGGAAGACACAGGCTCAACATGAGCTGAGCTCTTCCTAACTAATGATGCTAGGGAAAACCCCCTATTTTCAAATAAGGTCATAATCTGAAGTTCCAGGAGAACATGAATTTGTTGCGGGGGTGGGGGGTACAATTGTACCCAGTATAAGCATTAATCCACCCACTCCAGAATCCCCAGCAGGAAAATCAAGGAGGTGCACGTTTAGACAAATCATAGAGAAAGCCAAAGATAAAGTGTCTTAGAAGCACGAGACATAGGTCAGAAATGATCAAATCAAGTGTAAAGTTTTTGCAGATGCATAAGGCATGATTGGAAACATACAGCTAAAATGTGTTCCAAGTTGTTCACTGCTCTGAGGTGAAAAAACTGCCTGGAATGTGGTGACGGGGGAGGGTGGTCCCCACCCTGTGATCCCATACACTTCTGGAGCCTGTCTCCTCATCCGCAGAACACAGGGCTGGGCAAACTCACTCTAACGTCACTTCTAACATCACTTCCAGAACAAAGACCCCAGCACCCTCAGACCCGGCGGTGTGATGATGACACAGTAGAAGTGTCCCACCTCCTGCTCCTTCTGTTTCCTCTCACTGCTCAGCTGTGGAAGCTCAAGTTTGGGGGCTCAGGGTTTAGAAGTACTGAGAAAGGCAGAGCCACAGTTGCACTGGGGACCTGGTGCAGCAGCAGTGACCTCTGCCTTGTACTCCTCGCTTGTTCTAGATTCACTGAATCAGTGATTCTGCGGTGATTTTTTCCTCTCTCTCTAGCTTCTCATCCCCTCTGATCTTCCTCTGTGGGGAAGTTTCCATGTCCTGCGGTGTTGGGCACACCCTGAAATCCAAGGCAGAGCTCTCCTTCCCTCCTCCTCCATTTCCTGCTTTGGGACAGATGCCTGACCCACGCTCAGGCCAAAGGACCCGTCCCACCCCACCCACACAGGCCTGCAGACTTGCAGCCTGAAGCCAGGAGAGGAGTGCCTT